AGCTGTCCACGGTCAAAAAAAAGATGTTCCCTTCCAAAAAGGAGTCCCTTAGTCCGGTGAGGCCGTGATGTCCGAGCCCGGATGCCTGGTCATGTGCATGGAGGGCCGAGGTGCCATTGGCAAAATGCAGCCTCTTACCTGCAGCCAGGGTTTGACACGACATTGAATCAGCACCTTTCTCTAGTCTCAGGCTTATTTGTGGACCATCACATTCTGGGGCGGCTCGTGAACGTGCGCCCACAACTATCAGAGCTCTGTGGGGCACCGATGGCACGAGCAATGCCATGTATGCAAGCAGCACCATGGTTTCGGCAGACAAGGCGCAAGTGCTGTCACTGTGTCTATGATACGCACCAACAAAGGGCATGATGTAATGAGAAATGCATCCCTGGGCTTGTTTCGGAAAGCATGGGCAGGAAATCAAAACGTTTTTCCCGGATGGCGCGCTGAAGCTTGAGCGAACGCTCTGCATCGTCAAGCCAGATGCCATTGCAAATTTGGTGGGGTCATGAACCAACAAGAATCAACAGTACCTAGGTAGTAATCAAGTTCTCTTGTGCACCCCTGGGCAGGTTGCAGTCAAGGCGGAAATCGACGCGGCCGGTTTCACCGTCTTAAAGGAGAAGCAAACCACTTTGAGCGAGGAGCGTGCAAAGGAGTTCTACAGGAGCTCGGGTTCCATCCTAATTGCCCCTTTCACGTCATCACACGCCAATGATAATCAATGCGCCTGGTCTATCAGCATGTAGGTCCCCGCTTCTGGCAGGAGTATGAAGGACGACCCTGCGTTCCCAGCTGTGATCAAGGAAGCATGCAGTGGACCCTGCTGTGCGATGGTGCTATGCCGCCTGGAAGCAGTCACTGTCCTCAAGCAGCTCATGGGGAATGCGTCAGTGAAGGATGCGAGGAAGTCACGGCCGGGCTCCCTACGCGCCCGCTTTGGACGCGACGGCCAGCGCAACGCCGTTCACGGGAGCGAGTCTCTGAAGGACGCCGTGCAGGAAATCCGATTCTTCTTCCCGGAGATGGGTGTGGATCCGCTGCCAGATGACAATGAGGTCAGGGACTTCATCTTCCGCAAGTCAGCTCGTGCCTCCATGGACCTGCAGACGCTCTCTGACGCGCAAGCAACAGACTTCGAGCTGGATCCAACATTGCAGCAGCTGATCTCAAACGGCCTCATTGGGCTGTGTAAAGTGAAGCCACAGGGCCTTGCGGCTGTGAAGTGGTTGGCCAACTGGCTGAGTGAGAACAACCCGAACAACCATGCTCCAAAGGCTTCATTTGACCCCCCAACACGTACAAGCCAGTATGTGGAGTCTGGTGTGAACGGGGACGGCATGCCATTTGTCGTGGAGGCACCGGTGCCAGCAGCCCCATCAAAGCCCATAGTGGAAGTCACGGAGGAGGATCTCAAGAAGGAGCCAGGCGAGAGCGACTTGAAGACTCCTCCATTTGTGGTCTTTGTGGCAGGTGGCCCAGGCTGTGGCAAGGGCACGCAGTGCGTGAGGATCAAGGAAGAGTTTAACTTGATCCACCTTAGCACAGGAGATCTGATGCGCGCGGAGGTCAAGGCTGGGTCATACCTAGGCGGTGAAATCGAGAAGCATATGTCTGCTGGCACATTAGTTCCCGATGACATTGTCTTGGCGCTCCTCAAAAAGGCCATGATCAAGAACCAAGACACCAACAGGTTTCTGTTGGATGGCTTCCCTCGTGCTGTCGAGCAAGCACAGCGCTTCGAGCGTGAGATTGCAGAGGTGTCATTCATGCTTTACCTAGAGGCTAGCCATGAGACAATGATGCAGCGCATCAAAGGTCGAGCTGCCTCCAATCCAGGCAGGGTGGATGACAACGATGAAACCGTTCGCAAGCGACTCGAAGTTTTTGACCAGCAGACTCTTCCCCTTTGCAACTACTATGGCCCCATTGGCAAGCTGCGCAAGGCAAATGCGGAGAAGTCACCCGACGAGGTTTTCGCAGAGGTCAAGCGCTACTTCAGCTGCCGTTTCCTTTACCTCCTTGGTCCTCCAGGGGCCCCCGTCGACCAAATGGCGGACAAATTGGAAAAGCAGTATGGCTACTCTGCCATTAACCTGACGGCATTGCTCAAGAGCTATGCTGATTCCAATGAAGCAGACGCGCCGGCTGTGAAGAAGGCAATGCTGGCCGGCAAGCCGGTGGAGGCCTCAATCGCTTGTCCTCTCATTCTTTCGGAAATCTACAGGGACATGGCGCTGGGCGTCCAGAATTTCGTCTTGTCCGACTTCCCGCAGAGCCTCAAGCAAGCCCAGTTCCTGGAGTACCGTGTCTCCAGCATTACCCGGACTTTAGTGCTGGACTTCTCACGCGCTGATGCTGCTGACCTTGCGGCCACAATGAGCAGCAAGGACACTCTGGAGCTCGAGCTTCGGTCCAACTCCTTCTTCGGGCAGGAGACTTCTGAGATGCTCACGGCATTGAAGGCAGAAAGGATCCCCTACAGCTTGAGCGAGATGCAGACCGCATCCAGTGTTGTAGATGGTACCTGGAAGAAGCTCAGTGAGCAAGTTCTGCCATCTTTGACTGTGGTCTTGGGATTGCCAGGCAGCGGCACAGATGTGCTGGCGAACCTTTTGGCACAAAGTTCTCCCAACTTTGAGGCGGTCGACTGCAATGAGCTGTTGGACAAGGAGCTTGAGCGTCAGACGGAAATGGGGCTGGCTATGCACAACATGCTGGCAAAGGGTCAGGTTGTTCCGTTGTCCATGACGTTGGAGCTTCTCAAGGGCGTGGCCAATCTAACATGCTCTGAGCGCCGCTGCTTGCAACTAGCGGGTCCCAGGGTGAAAGTCCAGAAGCTGTACATGCATGCCGATGATGTCTAGTCTCAATGGGGTACCCACAGTTTGTATCTTAGGTGTCTGATTATTCAGAACTGCCCCCAGTATGTCGACCAGATAGAACTGATCGAGCGCGACTTCCGCATCAACAAGGTGTATTACATCCATGGCAACGAAGCCGCCGAGAAGTCGTGGGCGGACAGTTTTGCGTCGAAGGACGACAGTACAACGGCTGCCAAGCGCTTCAGTGATCTGCAAAGCCGCTTGCCGCCCATCGTTGCGCACTTCAGCCGCCTCGGCCTTCTTGAGAAGTTTGAGGTGGCCGAAACTCCCAACAAGGAGAAGCTGCAAAGCCTCATCAACAAGTCCCGCATGCCGCAATTTGCAGTGGTCAGCAGCTTGTCTCCAGTCCTGGGTGCCAAAAAGGCGCAGGAGCTTTGCGATGCCTATGGCGGTAGCCCGATAACGGCGAAGAGCCTGGCTGAGTTTACGGGCACAGCATCCGCGGACAGCTCTGATGAGATCACCATGCTCAAAACCTTCGCGCAGGGACGCGCGGAACCGTTCCTGGTGCTGCAGGATTGCCCCAGCGTGGACTCGCAAGCTCACGCCTTCCTGGAGGCCTTTGGGGCACCCCGAGCTGTGGTCTATCTTGAGCTGCGCGGCTGCTTCAGCTCTGCTTCTGGATTCATTTGTCGAGGCTGCGTGGTTTGCACTGAGGTGTGATGATGAGTACCTGGAGGAAGAGTACCGAGGCCTTGCAAAACCCACCAAATCCCAACGCCAGAATGAGTTATAGATCTGAACAAGGTAGAACCTGGACCGGATGTCGAAATCTCAAATCAATCGGAATCTTCGGGGTTGACCGAAGGCCTACACGAGGATGAAGAGATCGATGGTGAACAGCTTGCTGAGAAGATGGCACAGCAGCGGGCCACTATGGAGGGAACCCTGAAGGTCCTACTTTTGAGAGGGTCTCTGGGCGTGATTCTATGCTTGCTCCATGACCCTGCAGGTCTTCAAGGAGCTCTGCCCAGGACGGATGTGGAAGCTTTTGTAGGGGAGCCTTGCGTGTTGCTTGGACTTGCCCATGATCATCATGATCTTGCTGGACTTAAGATGCAGATTTGAATGGGGATGGCAAATAACACGGGCCACAGAGTCCTGGCAGGCAGTTGCCTAGACATTGACAAGAAGATGCGAGAGAGTCCAGCAGATGTGACTGCCATGATTCAGCAGAAGCTCCTTCCGATGCGTGGCTGCATGAAGGCAAGCTGCCGCTTTAAGAGATTCTCGGCAGCCTGCAAGACTAAGCATAGCCTAGCAGCTAGCATGTACAGCTGAGGACAGTCTATGTTATCTTGGCACCGAATGCAGAGTCCAACTTTGGCAATCTTGTGGCTGAGACCGTCTGCACTATGAGCACATCAGGAGGAGTGGAGGCACCGGACATTGCCTGACATGTGTGACAGCCAGGAGTCAGATATCAATTCTGAAATGCTCCATGCTTTGCGTATACTTAGGAGTTGAGCCCAATCTGACAAGTTGGAGCCGGTGTGATCACAATCACTCCCATGATGATCTGGCTGCACAGGATGCCCTGCCGTCCAAGTACACCATCCTTGACGCCATGGCAGTTTGTAAGCGTACCTTCTTCACAAGTTCAGGCTGTTGCCAGAAACTCTTGCAGATGTCAAAACCATGAGGTGAGGCTTGTGTGTCTTTGGTGTCGCGCTGGACTCCTCTGTTGCAAGCCTTGGGAAGTTGGAGCCCAGGCGGCAGCCACAGTCCAGCTGTTGAGGACGCCATTGTCAAGGCTGCTACAGTGTGAGTCGGTTAGAGGTGGAACAGCATATCCCCTTGCCGGCAGGCATCCTTCACGGCGGACACTCCAGATACCCAACAGCATCAAGCGTGTGCAAGCCTTATGTTCTTGATTAACTGAATTGGACTGAGTAAGGACAGCTTGCCTGTGAAAGTATGGGTGCGGAGCTCAGCAGCTAACCCCTCACATACACGCAATTCAATCCCGCTGCGGGAACTGACAGGCGGAGATCTGGAAGGAGGCCTTCCTGAAGTCGGCAGACCCAATGGGCACGTTCTTGATCACCAACTTCCCAACGGCCAGCTCTGTGACTTGACTCAGTGACTGCATGCGTGGATATATCGTGATGCCTGCCAAAGTATGTGCTGCTCAGAGGTCAAGGCTAACAGTGTGCGAGACCAGCTCTCTGTGGTGGAGTCCGTTTCTGCTTTAGCAGGCCTGCGTTGCACACCAGAAACACGATCGCCTTGGTGGTGCGGAAACCTGAAATCTTCAAACAAGGCATCCTTCACATCAAGCTCGGTGCCGCAGCGTACGCATCCTTCTGTTTCTTGGCCTGACCATAGCCACCCGTAAAGGCAGGACGACAAGAAGTGGTGGTACTGCCATAGCTTGGGACTCAGGCAGCACTGACGACGAGCAGCTGGAGGCGTACTCGAACTTCGATGCCCAGGCGGCTATGCCAAAAGATTTTGCAAAACTGGAACGTGCGAGTCTTGCGGCTTGCTGCTGCGAGGTGCACGACCAGGCATTGGCCCAGTTTGGCCCTGGACGTATCATGGAATGCACCTTGGCTTCATGAAAGTGTGATGGTTATCTGCTTCGACATAGCTGCCCGGACACAAGCCTTGCCCTCTCCCGGTACTCCAGATGGCAGTGGCACACGAATCTTGCCAATCAAGGCCTGCTGAGTGAAGCGACGGACAGCACTACTGCTGCTCAGAAAGTTGCGACGCAGTTCTTCAGCTTTCAGGCAGGATTCTTGGAGGTTTGATGCAGACAGCATCGTACTGCCGTGTATCTTTGCCAGGCCAAAGGCAACGCGTGAACTGTGGGGTGAAACTGCCCGCGGTTTCCGTGGAAACCTGTAGAATTGCGTTGAGTGCATGTGCGCACTTGAGGCTGCAGATGAGTTCTAGCCACTACTTGTAGATGTGTTTGAAGCTATCGAATACGGGTAAGGGGCTTGGCATTCAGCGACTGTGAGGAGCACCTCAGAAGGGCAGCTTGTCGCATCCCTGCAGCCTCATAGTCTCACTCTTTATTGCACCCATGGGGTCATCGCCATGGCTGCGATCTCAGCTTTCAATTTCCGAGTATTGTTTCTGTTGCAGCTGCTGCTTCTGCGGTACGCTTAGGTGATCTGGTGAGCCGAAGTGCCATGGCTTTGAGGAACTTGCTGTTTCTGAGGCTGAACAGCTGAAAAGGCAAACTCCTCCTTGCGGTGAGCTCTGCATCTGATTTTTAGCATGTGATATTAGCTGCTCAAAGATTTGTAAGTCATGCTTGGAGAACGTTTCAGCTGTCAGTCAGAGGCACTGACTCCTGCTAGAGTCAGGTCCTTGCAGTGGCCAAGTTCTTTGAGCCGATCGGAGAGGACGGCGAACCAGCTAGGTCACATCTTGGACAGGTTTTGAGACAAGATGGATTGGCAATTGCAGTCAGCTGCTCCAAAATGATGGCCCAGACCTGCGTACGAAATGACAAACTTGAAGCATCTTGAAGGCCTAGGCTCCAAAGCATTGTTGGCTGCAAGATTTGGGAAGCAGTACTTGTAGCAGGAGAGCTCAATCAGGCTGAGCTTTATTCCAATTTTTGTTGAGGATGACTGGTTCGTTTTTACAAAAGCTTGCTCCTCGGAGCTTGCGAGAGTTTCT